AGAAATATAAAGCATATTTCGTTATAACATGCAGTTTTTAATTAACAGCTTACTGTATAAACACTTCTGATATTATGATTTTGATTTGAACAGGGTTTTATGCAACATCTGTTGATAAATTCCGATGTAGCCTTTTTTAAATACAGCCAGGTTTCCCCACGATTTTTTGAATAAAATGGAGTCAATGTAAAAGGGACGGAAGGGTGTATTCTTCTCGATCTTCTCGTTGGTTTAGGTTTAAGAGCCCACGCTGAATGACCTATTTATCACTTGCAAACTTGTCAAATCTCGTAAAATGTGCGGCAGCGTGACATCAGCAAATATTGAATCTCTGATTATCAGATAAGTGAACACAGTGGTCAGAAAATTGACAAGAAGATAGTTGTTTCGTTTTGATAAATTTTCAATCAGGCTAAAATGTAGGTATTGTATATTTTTTTCTGGAATACATGTCAGCGTAGATAATAACATAAAATTTGAAATAAATATTCAGGAGCAAAGGTACCTGTGAGCAATAGACTGTTTTCGATATAGTAACATTTAGCTTGGCAGTGAGGCCTGGAGGACACAAACAAAGGGAGTTGAATGACCATGTTTATTCATTTCTTTTGATTGTATCCTCTAGGTCTCACTATCAAGCTGAATTTTAATATATCGAAAGTGACCCGTTTATTTCTTATTGCAAGAAAAATTATGAGATTGCCTACTGATAATGCACATCCAATGATGAACTGTTTACAGGCTATACAATAACTAAGGAGACTGATGAACCTTGTAAAACCATTCTGAAAATGTTAACTAACTTCTGGATATATTCCAATTTCTTTCGTGAACTTTTGGTGATCTATAGTTAGGAAACTCTTCGAATGATGTTTGGCAGAGAACTGAAGTTTTTGTGAATAACAGTATGATTTCTAAACGCGCTATGTTAATAGTTTCAAGTAAACACACACCAAAAATGAAATTGCATTGGCGTCGGTAAACCTGGTGTCATGTTGTGGTCTTGCAAAGGTTCATCGAATTTCCTCGTATATATTTTAACAGCTCTTGGATGCAAAATCTGAGCAGCAGTCAGAACAACAAACTGTGTGTTATTAGAAACTGAAAAATACCTCTTATATGTTCCTGAGCTGCCACCAAAGATCAGGAAATTGTGTGCCACTCATTTTCCCTTTGGCCCTCTTTGGTCTTTTTCAGACGTGCTGACCTGCCTGATTCCTTCATATTTGCACTAAAAAAGAACAATTACTGTCTGTCAGCTAAATAGATTTTGCTACATCAGTGAGACACACTACACGTTAAGCATGATATTGAATGATATATCTTATAACAGTCACCCGTTATCCCTTTGTATTGTGAAAGAGCAGAAAAACGCAGGAGTTGCTGTCCCAAAACACGCCAAGTATAAAGCAGGATTCGCCTTCCAGTTGATGTTTGGCTCCTTGCGCTCAGTCTTACTCCACAGATGTAACTTTTCCTCGGTCTTGCTACTCTCCTCTAATCCTGAGGTCCAGTCCAGTGCTCATGGCAACTACAGAGGGTGCGCAGGTCTGCGGCAATCTCTACGGAACTCTAAATACTCCTTAAACCTTTAAAGGTGCTAAACCATGAGACTGATAAGGGTGTTTTTTTCGATGCCAAATTTGCCTTCAAATACAGAAACCTCAAGATAACAGTGCAAATAGTCACGATTGACTAGTTCTGAAAAGGATAAACTTGATTAAGAAATATTAATCATAAGTGTTCTGTTTTCGCTGTTCTTTTTAGTGTGAACATAAACGACCAATTTGTTTTAGAACCGTAAAAACTTTAATCTTCTTCAAAATGGAAAAAAAAAATATTTAGGATTGTTAGAAAAAAGTCAGACTTTGAACAGCCAATCTTTCGTCTTTCAGCAGTTAATGTTTACAAAAATTCATTATGCCCAGTCTCTATTACTATGCTGAAGGAGAAGGCAAATGAAAAGATGACAATAACAACTCGTTAAGGACCATGTCTAATCAATGTCCAAAAATACCAACTTTAATCGGAAACTTGCAAGAATGTAATTTAGTTTTCATGTTGATAGAGGAGAACCTGTACTAAGAGAATACGACGAGACAATTTGACAGCATTCGTTAGGGGTCAAAAAGTAACGAAAAAATAACGTTTTTTAAAGCTTTTTTCAAGTTAACTTTACTGGCAAATTTATATCCGTCCCTTTTTCCTAGCTACTTCCCAGAAAATCAACCTCACCATCAAAATTGGGGTTCGGTTAATGACGGTGTACTGGGTTTCCCAGTCAGTAAGAAATTGGCTGAGAAGCAGATTCATGTATTTCAAGGAGCAGAACCAATGCGTGCCCTGCCCTGAGGTTTGTGACGTGTGTCAATTATTTTGAANAGAAAATCAACCTCACCATCAAAATTGGGGTTCGGTTAATGACGGTGTACTGGGTTTCCCAGTCAGTAAGAAATTGGCTGAGAAGCAGATTCATGTATTTCAAGGAGCAGAACCAATGCGTGCCCTGCCCTGAGGTTCGTGACGTGTGTCAATTATTTTGAAGTTACCGTACTTGTATATTGTCAATCTAGCTGTTTTGTGTGGATGCAACTAAATTTAACAACTGAATGTTTGCCTGTGTAAGGGTATTATGTTCATCAGAATGATAACATCCCCGATATATGATATTTTGCCTTTATCACAGGGCAGTTTGACAGGGTGTTAGTCATAGAATAGACAATATTGCGACAACAGCAATGGTAAGTTACTTTGACTAATAGGATTGTTTTCGGCATCATCTGACAATCAGTATGTCTATAAAGCTGCGAACGATTCCAATCAATCAATCAATCAATCAATCAATCAATCAATCAATCAATCAATCAATCAATCAATCAATCAGTCAGTCAGTCAGTCCGTCAGTCAGTCAATGAAATCAATAACTTAAAATATAAATATTCTTCAAAAGCTTTTTATTCAGCTAAAAGCTTTTATTTAGCTAAAAATGGCCTTTCAAACACACATTTAGTGTCATGGCGAAGATCTCGTTGTCTTTACTATTTTCGTATTTCTGATACATCTTTCGTATTTCTGATTTTTAAACTTTAAAGTACATGCAACCGAAACAATTGCAAGCACACCCATTTTACTTCTTTTGCTGGATTTTCATTTGAGTTGTTGTTCACTTCTGATGCCTTTCGACCCTGTCTGTGAAGAAAAACAAAATACAGGCACTTAATTGAAAAGTTATGTAATCCAAACGGAAAGACATTTTATTAGTTTCCTTGAACTGCAGAAACGACTAAAAGGTCACCTGTATTACCTGTTCAATCATTAATTAGGGATTTACTATTCCCGTCATTCTCCTTGCCTGTCATTTCCCTCGAAAAAGGTAAGCCGCAAAGGGAATACTACAGTGTAACACTGCTTCATATTTTGGATGTTCTTGATAAATTACTTTCTGTATGATTAATTAACCTGTGTGGAAATTTAGATGTGTATCGCATATATGTACACTTCTTCAGGAAATGAAATGTAAAATTAAAATGTAAAACTAAAAATGTATTTAGTTATTTACCCACAAAACACGGAACAGCTCTCTTGAATTCATTATAAAGTGGTTTTGCGGATGGGAGGAAAACCGGAGAACCCCGAAAAAAACCTTGGTCAAGAACGAGTACCAAAAACAAACTCAACCCTCTCATGACGCCGGGTCGAGAACTCGAACCCGAGCCACACGGCGGAAAACTGGACAGGTGAGTTGCGAGCTCTCTCACAACTGCCCCACCCCTGCCCCTACTAAAAGTTTTTATTAAAGTTAATCGATCAATCAAACAACAGATTAGCCCTCCCATATGCTAAACGTGAAGATCCAAGCTAAGAGTGAAAATCAATAAAAAATTTGAACAAAACCAGTCGAAGATCTTCCACCCGTTTTGACAAATTGGTCAACTGGGCATGTTTGCCTATTAGTGCAAGGAAGCCATTTACTGATGTTTTTGTTGAAAGTAAGTTGGCTGTATGGAAGAGAAGGGAATAATTTGTAGAAGGTCACTTTACACACACGTGCGAGTGTTTTTCGTTGCAGAAGGTTCAATTATGTAATAAAAAGCTTAGTTCTGTAAGATTAATTTCATTTGGGAAAGGATTTTACGCGGCGATAGAATAACGGCTGAGACGAGATTATGAAAAAGGAAAGAAGCCGCCACCATTTCAGTTGCTAACAACCGCACAGCACACAGTTAAGCCCAGTTCAGACGCCGAACTTTTTATGAACCGAACTTAATTCGAATGTGGACCGACCCAAATTATCAAAACTACACCTGTTGATTCATACGTCGAACTTAATTCGCCGAACTTTATTTAGTTTAAACCAAATCACATCGGAATGTCAGCGATTTTCAGGCAAAGTGAAAACTGCTTGTAAAATACGTTATAATAATTTATGCGTTAGGTTCGGCTCATAAAAAGTTCGACGTCTAAATCAAAGCTGTTCCAAACCCGAAATTCTCGGCTGAGCTAGGTGGGAAGAATGGCTGGGCCGTTCCAAATTCAAATAGTCGTTCTTAATTGATTCAAACGCCGAACTTTTCATGTACTTAATTCAATGTATTTGGTTCAAAGTTCGGCGTCTGAACTGGGCCTTAAGCTACGCGCTCTCAGTTTAACAGGATAGATAGTGAGTAAAGTGAGAAGGTTATTCGTGATTTAACGCTGGTAGATTTGTTACTAATTAAGAAGATAATAATAGCGATTTAATAGATCACAGTGCCATCCGGCCTGCCTAATTTCATTATTAACAAAGAATTCCCAGATTTTTAAAGCTTTTTAACCTTGTCGACTCGTTAAGTCAATATTGGCCGTTAAAGTTAGCCTGTAGACTACTTAAAGAAATTATAGGTGGGAACTCTTTTGCACTGACCTCGTCTAAAGTAAGCTGAGGGTCCACGTATTTCGTCAGCCTCTCTTTCGTACTGATCCAGGCCACGTGGTAGGTTCTCAATACGGTCCCTGCCCGCACGGAGTAGCCCGTCAATTTCATTTATGAAATCGCCAGTAACAAGCACGATCAAAAGAACAGTAAGAAGTGCTTTGGTCATGGTAAAGAGGAAGTCTAAGCTGGCGAGAGAAGAAAACAATTGTTAGATTTTATGTCCATTGTATTTTCTTTTAATCTAATCTATAGCTATTAGACAATTATTTGAAGGCCTGGTTCCATATCTATGATATCCAGATTAAATAAAGTAAGCGGTAGCAGCTTAACTCGACCTTTATCTTCCTATCACAAAAACTCATTCAATACTAAAATGTTTGAAAATAGGCCGTTGTTACCAGTAATTATTTATACACCTCGATCGAGATACTCGAGTTGACAAGTATGAGCTAATGGCAACATTGTGCTCCAAGAATAGGCGATTTTCGAGTTGCCCTTTGTCTCTGTTTCAAAAAGAATCGTTTTGCGAAACCATTCATATGAAAATGCGTTCCATCCACGCGTTTATTCTCATGCAAATCAAACTCATTTCCATATGACAGGTTTGGCTCGACGACTCGTTTTGGAACAGAGGCACAAGGTAACTCGGAAATGGCCTAGTAATTAAACTCGCGGTTTTCATCCCTGAAGGCACATTCGCATTACGTCATATTGGCCTGTGGGCCTGAATCGAACTCAGCTCTCGTATTGAGTATCATTTTCTCTCTGTCGTCTGGTAAGACCTTGTCTTTGCAGGTCATTTTGTGGTCCTAAAGGCATGCAGTGCGAAAACCGAAAGGCCAGGCTCAAGCGGAATGGCCGAGCTGAAATGGTGAATGACCGGCCAGGGATGTTGAAGGAATTAATGACAACTGCGCGAACAATTTTTTCTTGTTTTTCCTCTGTTAAGATCTAGTGTTCAGATTTGCTAATGAAGCATCTATATTAAAGAAAAATTCGCTGACAAAAAACATTGTTCGGTGTTAAAGAAAACGCAATTATGCTATATCGTTTTAATTCACAGACTTGCAGAAATGATACACGGTCCAACCTCTGTCCAATGTTCAAACAAAGAGCTGAATTTCCTTCTGACACTGACAAATCTTTTTGCTTTCCTGTCACGGTATTTGTCTACAGCTGTGTCAAGATAATTGAAAAGAGGACCAAACAGCCTTTGTCAAGATAAGTATACTAATAACGGAGCAATTAATTTGATCTACCAGCTGGCCTGCTCAAGTAATCTACTCTCATTCTCCGCAAGGACAGCGTGTCTGTGTTTTGCCTCGTTTTGTGTTGATTTCTCTGATCCGATCTTGGATTTTAGTTGGTTTTTCATTGTTGTCGTTGTTCTTCTTGTATTGTGGTGTTGCCGCTTTTTGGGGGGTGTTTTCGGCCGCAGCAAATCGACGTTTTCGAGGATTGAGTGTCGGATAGGAAATCAATGCAAAAGCTTTGAGTGCCGTAGACGGGAACATGTCGTTTTATGGAACAGGTTATTAACTCTCCCTCCCTAAACTTCACCTGCAGCTAAGCTTTAAAGCCATGATCAACAATGTACAATAGTTTACCGGGCAAAATTTGCCGCTTTGCCATTCATGCTCAAAGTAAGATACCGTGGCCTTAAGGCTGCCTTAGCTATAGCTCAGTGGTTGATCGGAGGGCCGACAAAGCGAGGAGATATTTTGATTAGTGCTATGACAATATAATTATGAATATCAAGTTGGCTTTACATTCTAATCAGTTGTGATTCGTGACAAGTCGCCAGCCTTAGCTCATTACCGTATTTGTGATATAAGAATTTGACTGGGCTGGTTTTTAGATCCTAAATATGTACGGCATATTAGAAGCGTGGCGCCACATTCAAAAAAGACGGTTACTTTCAGTTTTGACTGTTCTCTTTTTACGTAATATATCAAACATGAAAGACCGTGTTTGACCACGTTTCCAAACACAGAAAAGAGAGTTGAAAATACGACGCGTAGCGGAATCCGTATTTTTGACGAACTTCGAGGTGTTTGGAAATGTAGTGAACACTGTCTTGAATTTTGATACATCTTCTCAATCAAAACTAATACTAAGAAGAAAACGGAGAAATTCGCAAAAATCTATGCTTATGAAGATCAGATATCCAAACGTCGTCATGATTTCCTTTGTTTAAACTTGATGAATTATTAATGAGTTTGAGAAAGGTGTATACCGATTTTGAAAATTACAAAAGCAAAAGACGACCGCCTAGAAACTAATCAACCGTCGTGCTAAACATATTTTGGGGACCTTCGCTTATACGACGGCGATGACACGGACAACGCCTATCAGAAAATGTATTTCTATTCTACTTCGAAATTTCTGAATTTCGCAGTTACCTAGATCTATTTAGTATGCCTGTCGGTATAACTGAAAAATTGCCCCTGCTGAATATGCTGCAAATGTGTTCAGTTCCAAAATAGCAATACGAACAATTAGCTGAAGTGATTCACGTCAAAATCTTGCAAACTGGTCGTTTCAAGTTGTTGATTTGCAAAGGACGGCTACGAAATGTACAAAGATGCATACTGCGAGTATTAACCCATTATTGAGCTCAATACGCCTTTTGTTTGACGACATTTTCTTTGTCATCTTGTTTCGCGTGAGGTGTCTAATCTATTTTCAACAAACACACAATTAATCAAACCTTGTCGAAGAGTTGACCTAACCTTAACAATTCGCAAAGAAACCGCGTACAGTCATTCAATATGTGCCAATTCTACGAAGACGAGAAAAGTCTAAACAGAACTGAGTCGCTCATACGATATTGACCTTACCAGAGACTGTGTGAAGAAAGGAAAGCTTAAAGGCCGAGCTCAGTAACAGTATTTTGAGTTATTTTGGCCACGTACAAAATTACCTTTAAATTGAAGGAAACCCGAAAATAATAGTTTACTAAGATAGAAAAACACCAAAGAGATAATAATAAACCAAAAAGGAACAGGGATGGTTAAGGATGGAGAAGATTAACACCGATTACAAACGACGAACTTGAAAAATTTAGGCTAAACTTGTCAACATGAGCAAACCGTGACGTAGCTCCTTTAAATGCTAGTCAGTGAAAGTTCTACATAAAAAAAGAGAACAAACTTACGGATAGTCAAGACGTAAAATATTCTTTGAGTGAATTATTTGCGAGGGAGAGTCAGGAATATTTAAAATTAGCCAGATCAGTGCCAGTGCATGAAATTTTCCTTGGATTATTTTGACAATGTTTGGTCGTTGACATTTCGTAAAGAAAAAAACAAAAACAAAAACAAAACCAAAAAAAAAAAAGAAACAGTTACAACCGAAGAAAATGATCTTCTAAGAATATCAAAGTAATTCTATTGTTAGCTGAGTTGTCTGAAAACGATTTAATTTTGGACTTTTCTGTTAAACTTTTTATAAATCCACAAACCCTAGACGTCCCTAAATTAGTAGTCATCACAAGAAAGGAAGGATCATAAAATAACGTTCAAAAGTTTGAGAGCGTTTTAGAGGAATGAAAGTTCCATCAAACGGAATCTGGCGTACAGCAGATTTCAGAATGTTCAGACGTTCCTACCTTCTTTCAGTTTGGTCTTAACTTGCCAAAGCTTCGCGTGATCTGATCTTTAAATTATGTGAAAAGGCACAAAAGAGGAGTTACTTTATAACTTTATAGCAGTCCACCATTAGCCAAACACAGCGGATGCGTATTAATTTAGATAAGACAAACAAGTTGTAGTTAATGACTCTTTAAAGAAACGTGGCTATGTCCGCTCTCCATATCAAGACATGAAAGGCTCTATAATTACCCATTTTTGGACAGGAAATAATTCATTTAGTGCCTACGGACGCCCTCCGGCACGCCAAACTTTTCCACGATGCGTAATTTGCATTTAATTAGGTTGACTTTTGGGGGAAACTTAGTGGAAATATACCACGGCATGGCATTAATGCGGTAATAGTAGCTAATTTTAGCGGGATTTGGAGAGTTACTAAACAAAAATAAACCTAGTACAGGGATAAATTGAATCTTCCTCAACTCGCGAACGACCGGAACCATTAGGAAGTTAAAATGAATAACAAAAGAATGAATGGAAATGAATTACAATATGAACGAACTGAAGCGGAAAAAAAATAAATGAATCTCTAATTCCACGTGGCTTGGATTCATTCAAATTATTCTTATCAGACGTCTGTTTCAGAGTTCGTTTTCAGGTTTTGGAGTAATGATCTCGGGTAGGTGGCGAAACGTTAGGCTTAAGCCTGAAACATTGCTTCAGATAAAATTTGATTCAGTGCCTCAATCTGTTGCGTGATCAACTTATCAAGATACTTGTCTTTTTCTCGATAAAATCTTTCATAAATCATTCAACCTCAGTTCTTCTTGGAGGCCGCAACTGACTATTGTTTGGTTTACTCCCATCGGAAATTAAGGCAGAACGTCTTCTGGCTAGAAGTACAGTAGAATATAATATCGAATATTTTCAATACATGTAAAAAGGTTAAGTCCACTCGCGTTCCAAATGACAAACGCCGCCGCAGGTAAACCCGGTTTTCTTAGCATGAAACGACAATAAGTACAGTTACCAAGATGTACAATTAGAATTAGAGGTTGACTGGTTGATGCTTTGAGTGATAAGAGTCTCGCCTGAATACATAAGTCAAGAGAAATGCCTCGGTTTCAACTTTTCATCTTTCTTTTACAAGCCCTGGGGCGGGGTTATGCATATACATTACGTCACCTCACCTCACATGGAGTGAAAACTGTGATTCGCACTTCAGGGGTAAAAAAAGGTGTTTTTTAATAGTGTTGTGATGAACTGCTCTTATCAGTTATCACTGGACACGTTTGCTAATGGAGTTAATAAGAAATAACACGAAAAAAAGCGCCAACATTTGTGATTTTTTTTTTGAAAACTCTCTCTTCAAAGTTGGTAATGGCATGACGAAACTCCACTGAGTTCTAATTGATGTTGTAAATTAGTCTTATTTGATTCAAATTTGCAAAGTGGTATCGCAAAAAGAAAACCAGGCAAAATTCCCCTATAGTTTTATTAGCTTAACTATTGCGATGTCTCTTTTTTAAATTGTCATTTTCCAATTTGTTCTCATGTGCATTAAGTGACGCTATCTACTATTTCTGTCTAATGACCGCAACGTTTTTTAGCTAAGGCTTGGCAAGTAAGTCTACTCTTTGGCCTTCAGCAATTCGCTAAATAAAAAAAAAAGAACTGAAAAATTTTTTATGTCAAAAGACAAAGCGCATAATGCTTTTTTTTAAAATTATTATTGCACTTACAAAGCAAGGATTACAAAACAGAACCTTCTTACGAAAGAAAGTTATAATACAATATCTGCGAGACTTACAAAACAATACTGTACATTAATTACAATGGATACAAAGCAATAGAATACGAAACAACTAACAAGGAGAAACTATACTGCTGACCAACGGCAATACGAAGTAACCAATTAAACCAGCAACTAAACTAGCTAGCTCATAAAATTAATACGAGGAAAACAATTTCGTTTATTAAAAGCATTTAAAGAGAATTCCCTTAATTTTTCGAAATCATCAACACATTTCATTGAGCTTGAAAAACTCGGCAAAATCAACCTTCTATTTAAAAGAAAGAAACCTCGACTCCGTGTAATAAAAGTAAAATGTGCTAGCAATACAGCAGAATTCGTAAAATCAATAAGCCTGATAAAAAGTTGTTAAGTATTTGAAATTGCTTACACCTTTCTGACAGGAACTATGTTTTTGTACCTTGTTGTTTTTTTTTTTGTTTTCCTAGCTTTGGGATTTGAATGAAACATAATCAGCCATAAAGCATTTCGTCTCAAATTTATTAACGCTATGACCTCATTAAGAACGTCGTGTTAAAAGGAAATGAACTGAATGATTCATAGCAATTTTATCAAAAAAACGGATACCGTATTTTTTTTCAATAATCTCCGCTACTAAAACAGGAAACAGATATTCCAATCAATTAGATCTTCTGAAGAAGCGAAGGCAAATTGATTATTCCAATTCATATCTTCTAGGAGTCGCTTGCAGGCATTCATTCACAGAAAGTATTGAAATTGAAGAAATTGATACGTTTTTTGACGGAATCAAAACTTAATAATTTCTAGCTATACATAGATGAAGAAAAAGAAAAGAAAGTTTGAGCAAAATACGTAAAATGCCTTTTTCTGTTTTCTCGCGTTATTGTAGCACTTTTAAAAGGTATATCTGACCACGTTGATATGGTTCGAACTGAATGTTTCAATTGCAAACAATTTTCAGAGAAAACAAAATGTTTTGTCGGGAATTTTCTGTTATTGATTTTCAAAAAATCCCAGTTCATAGTACATCATTTCGAACTCTTGAAGCATCCTTTTTCCTCCGAAATAAAAAGGAATTACTTTTCCAATCTCTCCGAACATTGAGGTCAACTTTGGCCAAAAAGACGTCTTTTTTTACCGCAACATTTTTAAATGTGGACGTGAGAAACAATCAAGGTGTTCTGAACAGATATTCTCCAAAACAAGTAGTTAAAAGTTCATACATATTACAAAGTGATAGATCGCATCCGTTTAACCCTTTACCCCCCAAGGCGAACGGCAGTTTTTCAGTTATGAAGGAGATAATCATTTTGAGAGAAATTGTTTTAAAATGTAAAACTGAACTGAAAACTTCCAACACGTATCAACTTTAAATTAAATATCATAGGTATACTCATAAAATATAGCTTATTTTTAACAGGTCTTAGTGAATAGGTCGATATGAAACAATTTTTGCATTCCATATGCATCTCAAAAAAAAAATTGGAAAATTATCGGGGTGGTCAACCTTGTCTTAGGGGGGACACAAATTTTTTACCTCAATGAGCAGTTCTTTACAAAACAATTTTCGAGGCAAATATTCTTAACGTTATGAAGTTCTGTCCCAATTAGCCCTCTTAGGGAGTAAAGGGTTGATAATCCAAGCAAACATATTTTCAGGTTTGTTCATATTGCAATTAGCTCTTCCAACCTCGTCTTGCAGAAATCCTCTGGTTAATAACGTCTACCTTTATTCGTCTGCAATAAACAGTGTCCAGAATTTGGTTTACCTGAGCACTTTTGTTTTTACTTATAGTCTGTTAGAGCGGTGTGCTTTAAGCCATGCAGGCAGTATTACACACCTTAGCCATATTCATTATCGTTTACAGCAAAAAATGCTTTCGATATTAGCGAATCGAACGATTGCTGAAAATATGTAATAAAATATTCAATGTTATCTAATGCCGTGATTTTTTCCGCTTTTATCAGCTAAGTGCTAACTTAACAAGAGGATGAATACCCAAAATAAGTCAAACCACACATCACGGAATCGTTTTGTGTGATAACTTGCCAGAGGGACGCCTCTTCTCTCAATTAGATTTTTCCTTTCAGAGCATATATCTGATAAACAATATCAACCTTTAAAAATCATTAGCATCTTTTTCATCTTATCTGAAATTTGTACTCGAAAATGAGTTCCACGCATCCCCTACTTTGCATTAATGAGTTATGCTTGTGGTTATAAATGAAGCCAGTTGTTATTTCATCGCAAATCTCAGAACTTTTTAAACGAGGAGAAACTTGCAGAAACTAGCTTAAGGTAAGAAAAGCTGGACCCTTAGTTTCTGGGTTTTCATCCAAATGTTTTTAGCTTCATGTAACGGTTTTTCAAGATTTCACTTGATTCTGTAGGCAAGAACTATTCCTTGAATTTTAATGCTAAAGGCCTATTAACACACTACTATTTGTTGGCTCCTTATTTTTTATTTTATTTTATTATTTTCTTTTTTTTTAGTTTTGGCATGATAATCGACAAGGCGATCCCATGTGGTTGCGATTCTAATCCAACAAGTTTCCCGATTCGGATTACTTTGTGACACAAGCGCACTGTGAAGTTATCAATTTCAACAAATTAAACTTGCAGTGATTTCACTTCAAAAATCCTAATTTTGTTTTAGAAAACGTTCTGACACTGTACTGTGCAAGTCTGAGCTGTTGCCGATACCAAATTATCGCAGACTTAAGACTTTTTACGTTCTCTTTTGGTAATCTGTACGGTTACGACAGTTTATCTGCATTTTAACTGTTAACAAGTGGGAAAGAAACAGGCCTGTTTTCAAGAATTCTAATTCTCAAACCATAGCGATCGAATATTTCAAGTTTTTCTTTGTATACAAGGTAAAATTTAGTGGCACTTTTTACACTTTCGCGATCTATTAACGAAAATATTTCTCGTCAATTTAGTACTTGCTTTTCGTTGCTGTTCTTGTTGTTTTTTTAGCTGCTAAGCCTGTATTGGTTATTCCCTTAACGGGGTTTCAGGCTTGTTCCAGCTCATTGACTGACATAGAACTAAACGATGTGAATGCTACAGTCTTTTTTTTCGGCGACAATTTCGAAAGTTTTTTCGTTTGTAATAGATGGTACAACTGATCTCAACTAAGTGTCATGGAACCAAACCCAAAGTAATCCGGCACTCTGGCTGATCACAAGGGACACAGAAAATACAGTGAACCAATCAAAATTCGCAGTAATTTTATGTAGCTGATGCCAACCGCGGAAAAACGAGTGCCAACGAGTCACGATTGGTTTTGGTTTTACTTCTGATTGGATGAAAAAGTAACATTTGGATTGGATTTGAGGAACTCTAAAATGCAAATAATATGGGACAAGATGGATAGTAGCAAGAGAAAGTGATTCATAATCTCTTGGTAGTAGAAAACGTTTCTCAAATATGCAGAGGTATTATATGATAGCCTGCTGTTTTCATCATTCAAGACAGGATCCCCTAAGTTTCAAGCAGACCTATATCAGATAAAATCCTTAAACAGCCATTGTTTTATTTTTAGAACTGTCGTCGTCACAATGAGCAGAACACTTCTTACAGTTGTAGTGGTCCTGTTAGTTGCTGGTGTTTTCGTAGAGCAAGGTAGCACCCTGCTCCGGGCTGGTAGGGATAAAATAGAGAGGATGCAACATAATTCTAAAATGCAACAAAGGGAGACGGATGAAATAGGTGGAGTGCCTTATTGTATCATGCCAGGTAAGGAGATTTGAGTTCCTGGGAAATTCCGGCGATTCTGAGTGTCGTGTCACTCTGATAGGAGTCAGATAAGTGACGGGTGCATATAAGTCCATTTTTCAATTCAACGCTCCGGTGGGTGTCGCTATCTAAAGGATAAGCCACCATCCATCGTATAACGCAGTTTGTTTTGCCACTACATACCCACAGGATAGCGGATACGATGATTGTTGCGTTTTCAAATTTCTCTGGCGCAGTGTGGACGGAAGACATTTGATGCGCTTTCAGAGTGAAACCTCAGTTTTCGAATTCGATTCCTCTTGCGTAGTGTGGAGGGGGGCAAATTGTAAAATAATTGGCCCATTCGATCAAAAGCGGCATCTTGATTAGAAAAAAACCGTTTCAATTGACTTTACTTTTATGTTTTATTTCTTCACAGACACGGTAGAAAGGAAGAAATGAGGACATTAAAGACCCTAAAGAATTATGACTTTCCACCAAGCTGAAGGAAATTTACTGCTTCATGTACATCGCAATGGAAAATGAAAAAAATAAAATAAAAAAAACAATACCAAAAACAAAAAAAGCTAATCACATTCTAATGCGACTGTAAGCTCAAACTGTAAATAAAATAGCATTTAAAGATTACAACTGGCCAATACAAAGCCATATATCCACACTTAGAACGGTTCGCTTCTGTTACAAGAATCCCTTTGGAGTACCATGTCACATGAGTACGCAAATCACAGAAAACAGGGCGAAAAAAATTGTTTTGACGACCTTTATAAAATCATCAGGATGCCAACGAGGGCAGTAATGTTTAAGACTGATTTAACGGTTCTTGTTTCAAGTTTTTGAAAGAGAAAAGTTTTCCGAAGTAAAACAAAACAGCTTCCAACTGCTAAGTTTGTGGCTACCTCAGGCTAAAGATGAGTAAATTAATTTGCCTGGGTGCATCAGGTCTATTCCTTTTTCACCGGATTACAAAAGCTATGGAAAAATATATTGCTGAAGAGCAAGCCGGTAGTATATTGTCACGTCAACTTTATAGCGGAGCCCCATACCTTAGAAAATTGGGCACGTGACTGTCCATACGTACGCCCGTTCGCCAAGCCCCATACGGATATCTTAAAAAATAAGAGAGTAGCACCATTACCATATTTACATCTTTGATATTGGACATTCATGTTATGAATAACTGACAGCTGTCAAAACAAGGTATTCGCTGACCAGTATCACGTGACCATATCGCGGGTTCAGGTCAAGACCTCATCGAGACGCTTGTTTCTTGAAGTTGACCGCTGACTAGTTATTGGTTTTTCGATTGGATCGCGGACTCAAGCCAGATTATTACGCTGGGGAAGAAGGAGTGAGTACACGCAAAGACAAAATTTCGGCGCAAATTAACCCCTGAGGCGTTGTTGACTTTTCTTCCGACATACTCCTTGCACAATCGTCTCTTGGAAGGTCTCTGATATATTGCTTACGTAATTCCTACAGTGTTGAGTACGTTTATTAGGTATAAGAGAGCTTACGCATGACGTTTACGGCAGATGGCAAACGGCAAAGATTACCTCTGACTTTTTATTCTTTTCTTGTAATCCTTAAATAAGTCACGCAAAAATACCACAAGTAAGAGAAGACAGAGGGCAAAAGTTTCATTTTTGCCGTTTGCCGTTTGACGTGACGTCATGCTTAATCTCTCTCCATAGTTTGTTAAAATGTCACTGGAAAAAAAATAGTCAAACCACACACTGATCAATCACATGCTAATTGATCATTTTTTGGGTTTCTGATGCAAGAAAAAGAAATCCTCTCTTTTCTCTATGGTTAATTATTGTAGTCAGGAGCTCCGCTTTTAGGCTTGGCTAAATCTATATTTTATATGTTTCGAGATAGCTGTTGCTTGGAGAACCTGGCTATCTAGCAAAATCTGCTTTAAAGTGGCACCCTATAGTTTTACGATCGCACGCGCGCTCACGATAAAAGCTCAAGTAATCTGCGCGCGTTCGAAGGAAAATGTCAGTGTTTTTCGATATTTTATGACGTCAACATGAGTACAAAAAGCAAAACTGACAGTGGATTTTCCCGCGTTTCCTTCGGTGAAATTCCGTAAACTTTGGCAGACTGGTAGTGAATATTTTACTTTAGTCGGAACTCGTTTTTCAGGAAAATGTGTTGTGAAAATTTTGGAAGATTTTACCGAAGGAAATTCAAGAAAATAACAATTAAAGCTACAAAAACAGTAGGAAACACTTTTGTTTGGGCATTTATAATTCAAGACTAAAACCCAACATTTTAACAGAGATGCTTATTACATGTAGTAAATTTGAGAGGACTGGGTGCAAAAACAAATGCAAAAACAGCAATTAAGACATAAGACGTAAGACTTGCGCTCGCAACGCCATAAAATTTATGATTACCCACCTTAAAAGCCTTCATTTTTTAAGCTTTTTTCATCCTTACTAATTATAGAAGAGGGTTATCACTCCTCAGGAAAATCAATCGAACAATTTTTTTTTTTTT